GGGCCTAGGGTGCTTGTTGGAGGCCAAGGGGTGATGGAGTGACTTCTGGGGACCTTTGCTGGCCTGAGACGGAGCCGCTCCGGGTGCTGGGGATGAACCTGATATCCCGCGCACATGTGCTGGCCGGCCGGAGGGTGTGTGGCAGCCATGCGTTTGGGGTGCCCCGCCTGGGAGAAAGGAGGACAGAGGGCACCCAGGACCCCTGTAAGAGGGGTGCATAATGTCCCTGCTGGGCACCCCCGGCACACCTAACTCCCCTCACACACTGGCAACAAACCGGGCCAAGAAAGAGGCCTTTGTCCCAGGACATCTGAGGCTGCTGGGGGAGGGGACAAGCTGCAGGTGAAAGGACACATCAAAGCAGCACTGCCCCTCCTCCCCAAAACAGCTCCCTCACCTCTCTCCCGGAACCCAGGCTTTCCTTAAATGAAAGCAATGCCCTAAATGCCCAGCTGCCCAAACAGCTGGGACGCGACACACTGGGTCCCTATCTCCAGCTGCCGTTCACCTTGCCATGACTCAGTTTCCCTGCCCCGAAGAGAGTCAAGGGGGCAGAAGGAAGGAGGTTACGACTTGCATAAAGTCGAGAGGTCACCCGGGAGAGGGCCACCAGGTTGGGATTCATCATGTGCCCGGGGGGAAACGCAGGCCTGGCCGGCCTCCTGGGCTCCCCAGGGCCGGGGTGCTGGAGCCCCGAGTGCCCCCGCTGGCCCGAGCACCGTGGGGGCGGGGTGTGGGCAGAAACCACACCGGGCTCAAGTTTCCTCTCTTGGCCAGAAGGGGCAGGAGGAGAGGAGGGCCACGGGGAGAGGGGAGGAGGGTTGGAGGAAGGACGGAGAGCTCAGGCCCAGGTCTTCAGAGCGGAGGCTGGGGCGCCGCCGCGCTCCCCGTGCTCAGTGCTCAGGCCGGCCTCGGCACCCAGCGCTCAGTGATGGCCCGGGGGCGGGGCGCAGCCCTCCCCTGTTTCCAGAGGTAGTGGGGATCGTCACCCCGGAGGTGTCAGCGCAGGCCCAGCCTCCCCAGCCTCTGTGCCGGAGCCACGGCTCGGCTCTCTCCTCACCTGGCTCGGACCCTGCCACAGGTGCCTGCGGGGTGGGGCGGGAGGCGGGTGCCCGGGGGGCCAGGGACAAGCTGGGGACGTGGAGGTGGCGGCCCAGAGAATCAGCAGCTCCCCGCACACCCCCGAGGGCCTCGGGCTACCCAGTGGCCCCCCTTAGGAGTGGACATCCAGGAATTCATATGAGGGAAGAAGACCCAGATGGCTTCCTGAGTGCCCGGGGACCCTGGGGGTGACCAGCTGCGGGGGGCAGCACGGTGGTCCTCTGGGCCGCGGTCGCAGGGCTGGGGCACCCGGAGCCAGCCCACGGCACGGCCGCCCTGGGGGAGGGATGCTCAGGTGCGTGGTACCCATCCTGCTGCCCCATGTGGCCGCCGGGAAGCTCCGGAGGCGAGGAGCTGGGGCCGCCGCTGGCCTGGGGGGCAAGAGGCTCCAAGACGGGCAGGATGCGCGGTGGGCGCGGGGCTGTTGGGGCTTGGCCTCCCGTGGCCTTCCTGCCCCCGCCCCCCGCTGCAGCCGGCAGGGCAGCCCTTCACCCTGGAGGTCCAGCAGCTCGGGAAGGAGGAGGCCGGTGGCAGCCGAAGAGAGAGGGGGGCGGCCGGTCTGGGGGCTGGGATTCTCTACTCCTTGGCCCCCAAACGGCTGGAGCTTGGTTTCTAGGGACCGAACGGGGATGGCACACACTTGTCCCTTTCTCCCTCGTTCCTATACACCTGTTCGAGTCTGGATCTCCCACTGATGATCTCTCTCTCTCTCTCTCTCTCTCTCCCCTTTTCCTCTGTTCTGTTTCTCTATTTTACCTTCATGTGCCTCCCCCTCTTTTGGGATTGTTCCTAATATTTCTAAACAGCTTGCTCACCTGCCACTCCACGCCCCAGGTTTCGCCGATCCCTCCCCATCCTTTCATGGCTTCTATTGATGCCCGGAGAGGTGGGTGGTCTAATAAACCTCAGAGCAGGATCCCAGAGGCCAGCACCCTCTCTGTCCCCTTCTCCCCGTCAAGGCATCCCCTCGCAGATGGTCCTCCTCTGGGATCCTTGGGTATAAGGCTCTGTGTCACTCTGTGAGTGCCCGGACCCTGCGGTACGAGCTCTCCGGGTGGGACCATCGCGGGGAGTATAGTCCCTGTGAATGGCTCCCGTCCTGCCTGGAACATGTTGGTGGGGAGGAAGAGGGCTGTGTGACCTCAAAGTGCAGGTCACACTGCAAAGTGGGAACAGTTTACTGTAAAGCTAAAGGGACGCAGGGAGGCCCGCTCGCTTTCCCGGGAGCCGTCATGCGTGCGTCCCCGGTGGTGGTCTGTCTGAGCAGTTCTGACTACAGCCTCCCCCCTGCTGTGTACCTGCCAGCCCCTGTGCCCCGGCCCCTTCCTTAGACAGGGAGGCTCCCAAGAGCCGGAGAGGCCTGTGCTGGTGGAGGGACCACCACCAAGCCCTGAGTGGCTGGGGAAGAGCACACGCTCCCCTGGGGCTGGTCCATGGCCTGCACCACACAGGCCGTTAGAGCTAATCCGGAGATTGTCATCAACTCCCTCCTTCCCGACCTTCCTGCCTCCAGGTCCCCCCGGGGACCCTTGTGGATTCTCATTTCCTTGTCCCTGTCCCAAAGGTTCAGGGGAGATTGAGCTCCTGGTCTCCATGAGAAGGGGCTGATGCGGAGTCTCGGAGACCGGGGCAGCCCGGAGGGCAGCCTGCCTGGGTCATGGGTTTGAAGCTAGGAGGCGTCTAGGGATAATTTGCCAGGCTCTCTTCTGGCTTCGTGTTCTTCCCTGTAAACACAGAAGGTTGGACTAGTTCAGCGTTTTTCAAGGTGGGGTGGGGCTGTGCATCAGAAGCACCAGGCGCTTGTTAAGGTGCCCACCACTGGGTACCTGCACCTATGAATTCCATTCAGTAGGTCTGGGGTGCCTTGCGGGAGCCCGAGTTCCCACAAGCACAACAGGTGAGTGTGGCGCACAATCAAACTGGTGACTGCCGGAGCTGGGTGCCTAGGGACGCCTCTGGTCCCGTCCCCGAGTCCGAGTCCGAGTCCGGGAAGAGGCTGAATGGGGAAGTGATTTGCCCCAAGGCACGCCTTGGGGAGGCGCGAGAACCTGGTCTCCTGCCTCCTAGGGCAGGCTCCTGGGACTGCAGCTACGGGTCAGCTCCGGGAAGACCCAGGAGGGACCAAGGGAGGGGTGCAGGGTGGAGGGCTGTGAGGCAAGAGTCATTGTCCCTGCCCCCTGAGCCCCTTCTCCATTCACTTTGCCTTTGGGCAATTTCCTCCAGAACCTGGGTGGGGGAGGGCGGGGTTCCGGTGTTGAAATGGCATCCTGGGCAGACATAAACACCCCACCCACTTTGCCCACTGCGAGGCCGTGCCACACCGCTCCCAGCTCTGGGGGGCAGTAGAGCAGGGGGGCGGGGGGCGGCCTCCTCCTCAGGGATAGCTTCTCTCCCTGAGTTTGCGGGAAACCAAGGAGCGGGTTGCACAGTAGATTGCGGGGATGGGCCATCCTAGTGGTGATCAAGGTCCTGCAGCTTGGGGTGATCCCGTCCTATCCTCCGTCCTCCCCGCGCCCCAGCCTGCCTGCCCTTCCTCTGGGGCAGCGATGGGTGCCGTGTCTGGCCCTAAGATTCGGGGAGGCCCCGTGAAAGCCCCTTGGATCCCTCCCGGGGGCGGGGAGAGCGGCCCCGGGAGGTGGGCTGAGAAGGGCCCGGAGGGGAGGCGACGTGGAGAGGGCTGAGGGGTGCCTGAGAGCATCAAGCTGCAGAAAAGGCCCCGGAGCTCAAGCTACGCAACCCCGGGTTTTATGGATGCGGAGACGAGCTGAGAGCAGAGCCCGGCCTGGCCTGCCGGCCTCAGGCCCGGGACCGCGGCAGCTCGAGCCCAGGTCAGGGAAGGTCGGCGGGGACGAGCCGAAGGGAAAGTGCTTTTGAGGCTCTAGAGAGGCCTTTCTGAGAAGAGGAGAGGAGAGATTCCGCGGAAAGAACCGCGTGAGGAGGAGGGCCGGAGCCGGAGCCGGCAGTGCGGGCCGGGCCGGGGGGCGGCGGGGGGCGGCGGGGCACAGGCGGGGGCCCCGCTTATCGGCTGCGGCTGCATTTCGGGGCCGACCTCCTGGGACGGGTGTGGAAGCCGGCCGCAGACCCAGGCCTGCAGGACACCCGCCGCTCTTGAACTCTTGACAGCGCGTCTAGGCCTTCGCGACGATTGTCCTATTACCTTAGGAACCCCGGCTGCCTGGCTGTGTGGGTTGGGGTATGGCCGAGATGACCCTGCAGGGACAGAGGACAGAGGTCCAGTGTCTCCAGAGACCATTCCTCCTCTGCTGCCTCCAGCTGATAAACCTCTTATCAGGCCCAAGCAGGGGAGCCCAGAGCCAGGAGAGGAGGAGAAGGCAGGGCTGCTATCAGCCACCAGGCCCGGGCCATATCTCGGAGCAGAGGAGGGGCTGTGTACTTGGCTCTTCCCACAACACGCTCCTTGGGGATCCCCAAGTGCTCATTCTCATCTTGGGAAGATGAGACAGAGGAGGAAAACTGAGGACAGAGGAGGAAAGCAGGAGTGATCCCTGATGTCGCCCCGGAAAATAGGGGACAAGATCCCCCGGAAGATCTGACTTCCGCCCTGGCCAGTGATACAGTTTTAGGGAGTAAGAAGAAGGGGAAAGAGAAGGCACCTTGCCTGGAAAAGAAGGTACAGACCTGCTGTGCTCGCAAGGACCTGTCTGCAGCCATAGCAGGTGAGGTGGAGATCACGCCACACGGACAGCCTCTGCAGCCCAAGGGGCTGGTCGGCGAGGACAGCGTAACTGGGGGACGAGGGCGCGCCTTCTCTCCCGCGAGGCTGCGGGAGCTCTCCGTGGAGCCAGGACGAAGTGGCTGGTCCCTAGCACGAGAGGCCTTAACCTGTTCCTCCTTTTTAAAACTTATTTATTCTTTACCCTGTTTCTCCTTTGACACAGGTTCCTGGGGACTTTGGGCTTTAAGGACGCTGGACCAGGCCCTGGCCCAGTAGGATGCCCCCGTGTCCTCCCCAGCAGAGCAGGGACAGGGGGACACAGTTGCCCACTCCAGAGCTGGGCGAGATGGAGCTGACTTGGCAAGAGATCATGTCCATCACTGAGCTGCAGGTGAGCGGGACTGGGGGGACCCAGGGGGGGGGAGAGCTGAGGAGCAGGGAGTCTGGCTGGGGCTGAGCAGGGGGCTGGAGCGAGCAGGGAATGTTCCAGACACTGGAAAAGGAAGGGCTGGGGTAGGAGGGCCATCTGGATGGAAGACCAGAATATTAAGGGGTGAGAGGTGCGGAAGAGCAGGGGAAGGAGTGGTGGCGAAGGAAGGGTCTGATTGGCCGTAGGCTCTCAGCAGCCCCTCCCCTCCCATCTCTCTAGCCCACCTGCCTTCGCTCACCTTCTTCCCTTCTGAACTCCCTCTCCTCCAGCCCTGCCCATCTTCTCCCCTCATTGCCTCCCCCTGCCCTCAGAGGCTGGGCCCCTTTCCCTCAGGTAGCAGAGCAGTAGTTCAGGGGCCTGGGGAAGGAGGGGGTCAGACTATGACAGGGTCCTTGCCTCCTGCCAGTTGGACAAAGGGGTGTCTGTTGGCCTAACAATGATGCCTTTGTCCCCGGCTGGGCTGGGCTGGAGCACGGTGGCTCCTCGATGTGGGTTGGGGGCCCTGTTTCCAGCATGTTCCCTCCTTCTCTCTGCACCTGGGCAGGGACAGAGGGCCTGGGGAGGAGAGGGCACTGCGAGTGCCGGCTCCCCAAGGTGCCTCTCAGCCCCCAGACCTAGCCCTCTGCCCCCCGCTTCTCTGCCCTGCCATCTGCCCTAAACCCTCCTCGCGCTCAGCAGCTCCCTCTGCCGGGTGCCAAGGGCATGGCCAGCGTCTGAACTTGACCCTTTGACCCTAGATAACCACAGCAGGAAAAGGTTCTGGGGGGGTCATCACAGATAACAACTTCTTGTCTTCTTGAAGGAAAGAAAGGAAGACGAGCCTTTTCAAACTTGGGTGAGAACTTCTCCTGAAGAGGGGGAGATTCCATAATGTTGCCGCGTTAGGTAGTCCTTCCCGGAGTCTGACCTCGGGGACCGCCGCTCCTGTTTAAGCTTTTTAAAGCTGCTTTCTAAACTTTTTTTTTTTTTAGTTTTTTTAAAATTTTTATTTATTTATGATAGTCACAGGGAGAGAGAGAGAGGCAGAAACACAGGCAGAGGGAGAAGCAGGCTCCATGCACCGGGAGCCCGACGTGGGACTCGATCCCGGGTCTCCAGGATCGCGCCCTGGGCCAAAGGCAGGCGCCAAACCGCTGCGCCACCCAGGGATCCCTTAAAGCTGCTTTCTACTTGGAATAGCGGCACTGGCACTGCAACCTCACGAGAGGCTTTGCATGGTGTTTTGCACCTCTCTGTTCCCGTTGTCACCGTACCTTTCAGAAGGACCCAGCTGGTTCTCTTCCTCAGCCTGTCTTCAAACCTCTGTGTGTTTTCTTGCAGGGCCTAAATGCTCCAAGTGAGCCGTCGTTTGAGACCCCAGCCCCAGCCCCATACCCTGGGCCCCCGCCGCCCCCGACTTACTGCCCCTGCTCGATCCATCCAGATGCTGGCTTCCCCCTTCCTCCAACACCTTACGAGCTCCCGGCAGCCGCATCTCATGTCCCAGACCCGTCGTACTCCTACGGCAACATGGCCATACCGGTTTCCAAGCCCCTGACCCTCTCAGGCCTGCTCAGTGAGCCCCTCCCAGATCCCTTGGCTCTCCTGGACATCGGCCTGCCAGCGGGGCCCCCGAAGCCCCAAGAAGACCCAGAATCTGACTCAGGACTATCCCTCAACTATAGTGACGCTGAATCTCTTGAGCTGGAGGGGACGGAGGCTGGTCGGCGGCGCGGCGAGTATGTAGAGATGTACCCGGTGGAGTATCCCTACTCACTCATGCCCAACTCTTTGGCTCACCCCAACTATGCCTTGCCACCTGCAGAGACCCCCTTAGCCCTAGAACCCTCCGCAGGCCCTGTGAGGGCCAAGTCCACGGCACGGGGGGAGGCGGGGAGTCGGGATGAGCGTCGGGCCCTGGCCATGAAGATTCCCTTCCCGACGGACAAGATCGTCAACTTGCCGGTGGATGACTTCAACGAGCTACTGGCACGGTACCCGCTGACGGAGAGCCAGCTGGCCTTAGTCCGGGACATCCGACGGCGGGGCAAGAACAAGGTGGCGGCCCAGAACTGTCGCAAGAGAAAGCTGGAGACCATCGTACAGTTGGAGCGGGAGCTGGAGCGGCTGGGCAACGAGCGGGAACGGCTGCTCCGCGCCAGGGGGGAGGCCGACCGGACCCTGGAGGTCATGCGCCAGCAGCTGACGGAGCTGTACTGTGACATCTTCCAGCACCTGCGGGACGAGGCAGGCAACAGCTACTCCCCCGAAGAGTACGCCCTGCAGCAGGCCGCCGATGGGGCCATCTTCCTGGTGCCCCGGGGGACCAAGGTGGAGGCCGCCGCCGCCGACTGAAGGGCGGGGCTGGCACCCCCGAGGGGTCTTAATTCCCTTCTGCTAAGGGTGCTCCTCCCTAGCAGGAGCGAGTTCTCTAGAGCGGAAGGGGACAAGGGGAACCTAGCATTTGGAGGTCCGAGGCGGATCGGTAAGGCTTGCCTTAGGGAAGGGATTGCGGGCGGCTGGACTCTCTTTTCCAGGATCCGGCTTCCCGGATCTCCAGCCTCCACCTCCTGTTTGAGCTTCGCTACATAAAGCGCTCCACACACACACAAAGCCTTCCACTGTGTCTTCCTTCTCAGGAGGGGGCGATGAGTACCCCTCAGAGCTCAGCGCTGGGCAGTGGTGGCGAGGGAACCCCGCCAGGCTCTTTTCTGCCCCTCCAGCTCTGGGAGACAGGTACGCAAGACACTTGGGCTTGAGCAGCACGGTCCACCCCCTCATCTCCTTCTTCAGAGCCAGGGGTCACGGATGATCCGAGGGGCCCCCTCCCCGGTGACCCACTATTTAGGGGGGGGTGGGGGCTGCTGCCAAAGCTGGCTATACCCCCTGTGCAAGATCCTGAAGCTCAGGCCTCTCCTTTCCCAATCTCGGGGCACACAGAAGTCCGGGATACCGCGGGCCTTCTTCCTGTTCCCTCCCGCCCACTTCTGTAGGACTTGCTCGTCCTCCTGTACTAGAGCTCTCGCAAGACTGAGATGCTCTTAAGTGCTATGCATTTTTTTAAATAAAGATTTTATTTATTCATTCATGAGGGACACAGAGAGAGGCAGAGACACAGGCAGAGGGAGAAGCAGGCTCCACGCAGGGAGCCCGACGTGGGACTCGATCCCAGGACCCCGGGGTCATTCCATGAGCCGAGCCGAAGGCGGACGCTTAATAGACTGAGCCACCCAGGTGCCCCTCAAGGGATTTCAAACCCGGGTCTGGGCAAGCCCTGCTCCCTGGTGTAGGATATGCCTTTTGGTGAACTTTTCTCCTTGGTTGTAGTAGATGCACTACCCCATCGTTTGGGGGCCTCCCTTTTCTAGAGCCTCAAAGAACTAGGGCATTTTTTCCTTGAAGCAGAACATGACTAAGTTCCAAAATCCAAGTCCAATCAAACTTCTCGGACACTACACTTTAATCTTCCGGCTTGGCGTTGGGTGGTTCCTAATCTTTCCAGTCACTGCAATAGGTCTTTGGGGTATCTTATTTCTATTTACGCTTCAATTTTACTAGCTCCTTTCCAATGGAGAAAACTTCCAAGTTCTGATAGTTTTGAGACACGAAAGCAGACATCAAAGGTGTGGAATTGTTATGCTTAGATTCTCAAAATGCGGTCTCCTGGGTTAGGGACTGAAAGCAACAGAAAACCTCAGATTCCTAATAGATCTGCTAAGTTCAACTTGTCAACCTTACTTTCTTAAACTGAAAATGCAGGATCAAGTTGCAAAGGGCAGTGCCCGGGTTGGCTGATTAGCAACTCGGTTAGTTCACTCAGGGATGCCAAGCAATTTTTTCACTTCTAGGCAAGCTCACAAGGGGGCTTCAGACCATTATTCAGTGCTTCCTGAGCACTTTTCTAGAACTGTTCTAAGCACTGGAGATACAAAAGGGGAAAATGCTCCATTCTAAAGATACATCGAAGCGGGTAAGACCACCACATACACAGAACCTACAGAACCTAAAGTCAAACGTGAACACGGGTTTTGTAGGACCTGGGTTATATTACGGAGGTTCCAAGAACTGGAACCAAGTCACCTTCATTTAAAAAGTGCAGAACCTGGGACGCCTGGGTGGCTCAGCAGTGGAGTGTCTGCCTCACTCAGGGTATGATCCAAGCTCCGGGATCGAGTCCCACATCGGGCTTCCCGCAGGGAGCCTGCTTCGCCCTCTGCCTGTGTCTCCCATGAATAAAGTAAACTTACTAACATCCTGTATTTACTTGTAAAGCATGTAGTGAAGTACATGGAATATAGCAGAAGCATAACCTTTTATTCTAGTGGGCCTGTCCTTCTAAACCATGATTATGAGAAACTTAGTAACTACAAGTCACAAAGGGAATTAAGATTCTTACAGTGGTAGATCACCTACACATTCACACCTAAGCTGAAAGTTGAAGCTGGATCAGCTTTTTTTTTGAAGACAGAAGGTTTAAGCATTCACTAGGTGAAGAATTGCTTTGTAATTTTTGGGTTACTTTTAAGAAACTTAAAAACTGGGCAGCCCGGGTGGCTCAGTGGTTTTGTGCTGCCTTCAGCCCAGGGTGTGATCCTGGAAACCCAGGATCAAGTCCTGTGTCGGGTCCCCTGCATGGAGCCTGCTTCTCCCTCTGCCTGTCTCTCAAATAAAAAAAAGAAAAAACAAAAAAAAAAAAACAAAAAACAGAAAACCAAAACCTTAAAACTTCCTGCTCTCTCCAGATTCACCTTAACTTGGTTTCAGATTTTTTGAAGTCAGAGATAGCTGGCCAATAAATACTTGTGGAGGGCAGCCCCGGTGGCTTGGTGGTTTGGCACTGCCTTCAGCCCAGGGTGTGATCCTGGAGCCCCGGGATCTAGTCCCACACTGGGCTCCCTGCATGGAGCCTGCCTCTCTGGGTCTCAAATAAAATCTTTGAAAACAAAAACAAAACAAAAACAACTTGTGAGGCAAATGTAAACAGCTTACTTCTAACTAGGCCAAGATTTACTCCTACAGTTTAGAGCCAGCTTGGTTTCACTAAATCATGCTGCTGATGGGATAACCTTTTAACATAGTATTAGAACCACTTTGGGGGCAGGCCTGGTGGCCCAGCGGTTTGGCGCCGCCTACAGCCCGGGGTGTGACCCTGGAGACCTGGGATGGAGTTCCACTTCGGGCTTCCTGCATGGAGCCTGCTTCTCCCTCTGCCTGTGTCTCTGCCTGTGTTGCTCATGAATAAATAAAATCTTAAAAATAAATAGAACCACTTTGGGACACCCGGGTGGGCTCAGGCTGTGATCCCAGGATGATCAAGTCCCACATTGGGTTCCCCTGCAGGAAGCTCACTTCCCCCTCTGCCGGTCTCTCTCATGAATAAATAAAATCTCTGGGGGGAAAAAAAGGATCCACTGTCATTCCAAAAAACTGAATACTACTTATTTTTTTCATTTGGAAAAAGGACCACTTCCAACAACCCAACTGTTCCTCCCTAATCTCAGCTTCTACCTGATTAAGGAATTTATGTTGTCCCACCTTCCTTTACATACCCAAGATCTTAGTTGTTCCTTTAGGTTTAAAAGGGTTCAAGGAAGCATTAGTAGGGTATAAAGGAGAAAGATTTTTCAATCCTAAAAAAAATTCGATTTGCCATATTATGAAGGGGGGGAGTGAAAGAAGGAACAGAACCAAGTTACAAAGTATTTATTAAAAAAGTGCATTCACAAAACTGAATGATTAATTCAAGCTGCAGAGCAGCTAACAACTGCATGGCAGTGAAAATGAGGTGCATACTGGCTCAGATAAAAGGTTGTCCTCATTAAGGATGTTCCTGCAAGGAAAAAAAAAGTTATTAAGTGTTTACAGAAGCGCTTGAAAAATTCTACAATTATAGTCAGATTTTGTTCACTTGGAACTCAATTACTTTAAATACTTTTTGCCAGCTATGGCAGACAGATCCCATTTTTTGGGTTCCCAGGCACAATCTGTCATCCTCTACTTTGGCAATTACCAAGCACTCTTGCTGACAATTAAGTTTATAAAAGGCTTACCTTTTAGCCATAAATTTGTATGGATGAGTTTCTGAAAATTTTTTTTTTTTTTAAAGAGAGTTGATTAGCCTGGAGTAGCAGACTCCTCCCTAGAAAAGTAAACAACCTTTAGAACTAGCTTTTCTGAGACCAACTCCCAGATCAGGGTAAATCCCCCCACCCCCCAAAATTAATGGTCCACCCTCCCTCCCACCAGGTTTTGGGGAAGATTATAATGCATTACTTTGAGCCATTGTTTTAATGAAATGGGTTAAAGGAAGGTAGGAAATAAAATTAAAAGGGCAAAAATATATTGTCACAGTAGAATTAAGTGTTCACTTCCTTCATTTGGGAGCCAAGGCTAGGGTGTCCATTTAAAACAACTGATCTCCAGAAAAGCCAGTTCAGCTTAACTGGACTAGTTTTGGCTCAATATATTAAGGAAAAAGTAACAGAAAACTGGAATTTAAGTAACACTATATGGATGGAAGTAAAATCTGTTCTTACCTACCAGCATAGCAATAAAACCTTTTCTCCTGGTTCTGACTGCTAGTCCTAAGAGTCAGGTGTGCCTTACTCTTGTCTGCCTCCTTTCTTGCGATGGTCACTGAAAACTTCACTCCCTCCTAGCTTTCATGGAGCGTGCCGTGGCCTGCCCCTGGCTTATCTGTACTCCACATACCACAAGTGTCTACTCTCAGCTGTAGAGTGTCTGAGCTCGGAGCCATTCGCGCTATACTTGCTAGCAGTTCCTAGAAGCTGAACATCTCTCCTGGATCTTTAAAGGCATTGTCACGAATCCTGAGGTATCTGCAAACTCCCTCAATAGTTAAGGTTCCACCTGCCATTGCAAACTCAGCCAGTATCAAACTCATGGAACTATCACCCATGCTTTCCCACCCTCCTCCCCCCCCAACTCCACACCCACCCTCCTCCCCAAACTTCCAAGTAACACACCCACGGGATGGAATACACAATCCTAGTGATAAACAATTCTCTATGCTACCAGGTACAATGGCACTGAAATTGAGGGTACCAAAGGGAGGGCTCAAAAGAACCTATGTAACAAATAACAATGATTGGATATTAACTGTAAAAGGCTTTAGAAATCATTTTCTATACAATTAACATTTTAGGATGGTTGTGTGATGTACCATTTATTTAAAGGAAAACTGCAGTTAACGTGAATATGGTAAGGCTCCTCACCATCTGCAGAATTTTAATGTCCAAACAGGTTTAAGTAGTATGGGATTATTTGTAAACCTCAATTACCGACCCACCCCCCAGAACAAAATGTAACTGCTGTTTTCCTTTAATGTAAACCTGGTTTTGTATTAAAAATAAGATATTCTTACTGGTGCTGGTCAGTTTAAAAAGGTCTCCCAAACACTTCTAATCTGTGGACTTATGGGGTGGCATTAGCCAGCAGCTGGTTTCTATCCTCTGGCAGAGTTTTGAACTTGCATTGTGATAGAAGCATTCAACATTATGAGGGGTAGTGGGTAGGGAAAGTCCAAAGCTCTGCCAGTCCCAAATCCATACAGTTGTCATTCCATTCAAGAGAATATTAAATCGTTTATTGATTACACATGATAATGGACGATACACAAGCTTTAATCCCATCTATAGTTTTATCTGATACCATAATTCAATTTAGATATATTGCATAGGATGTGCCAACAATCATAATAACCAAATAAACTCCAGGACTTTGCTTGGGTGACCCTTTTAACGGTGAACTCCAGGTCACAACACATTAACTGTCAGTTCAACCACACCAAGGTTTGTGGAGACAATGGCTTCTGTGCCCAAGCAGGTTGCAAATAAATTTCGAGTGGAACCTGGCATCACCCTGAAGGAATTCTAACTTCACACTGTTGGGGTAGTTTACCAAGATGGCTTCAGAGTAGACTAACTTTACACAGCACATTTAAAAAAAGACACATTTATTCAGCGTCATGATCAGACTATTACATTTAGCAATCAACAGCATGGGTGCAAAAAAAAAATCTACATTAAAACCCTTTGTTGGAATGCTTTACACTTTCCACAGAACAGAAACTAAAATAACCTGTTATACAATTAGTCACAAATACAGTCCTCGAGTTTTTTGCCCATACACATGAGTATTGTCTAAAACATGTCTTCTTTGTAGCAGCTAGGCCCTGCCACCACTGTGCTTGGCTGAGTTCACAAATCTGTTGTAACCTGTAGCTTCCCTGTCACTTCTCTGGCTCTCCTCTCCTGCTAAGCTTTGTTTCCTGTTGAACAATATGGAATAAAGTTGTTAATCTAAACATATTAAGACTCAAGGCTACAATCCAATAGCAAGTTTTGTTTCCCACAAATTTTGCTGATCTGAATATTAACATCCACAATTTTACTGCAATTATAATGTTAACTATGTTGCACTGCTCAGCTACATTAGGGTTACTGGGTTCATTATCATTCACAAAAATTAACTTAAAACATAAAAGGGTGTTTACTTACCTGGCAGTAATTAAAACCTTCTGCCACTGCCATAGCTGCTGCTGCTGCTGGAACCGCCATAGCCACCTAAGAACATAATTTGCCCCTTTAAGCTTTGGAAGCACCAACACAGTAAGATTTTTTTTATATAAGGGGCAGTAAAAGTTCAAATTTTCAGGAGTTTGAGCTCACAAGACTTTCCCAATTTGATTGCAGATTGCCTGTCACTTAAATTTCCTAAAGGCTTTAACATACTCCACTGGTATTATAAATACCTAACACTCCCAGCAGCGCATATATACGATACCTTGGTTTCGTGGTTTGGCAAAGTATTGGCCTCCACCACCATAGGGGCCAGAGCTTCTGCCTCCAAAATTTCCTCCTTTCATGGGTCCAAAATTTGAGGATTGATTGTTGTAATTGCCAAAATCGTTATAGCTTCCGCCACCTCCAAAGTTGCTTCCTAGAAATGGAAAGAGGGCCTGTTACTTGAAGATGGTAGTTCTGAATTCTATTCAGTGCTCATAACAAAAAAAGCTGCAGGATCTGCTTTGCCTTCCTCCCAAACTCTGGTTGCTCCAATTACCTATTTCATCCTTTTCTGGGCAAGGCACGAAGTTGAATAATCCAGTGTTTTTAAAAAGATTCACCCACAAATTATCATGGCATTAACAGCTCACATTCTCTAGCCTCGAAGGCTTGTACCCATCCAGGGCACTGCAAACACAGGCTGGATCTATCAACTAAGTGCCTGAGATCCCAAAGGAGTCATATACTAAATCCTGCTGGAAACTAATCTAATTCTGATTAAAGGCACCACTATCCACTTATCCATCTATCTTATTTGGGAGTGAGGCGGCCCCAGCTTAAAGCTAGGAGGAGGTAGCATTAGCAAGCCCATTAAAAAATACCATGCATCGTACCACATAATGCTTTTTAAGAGCATTAAATCCCCTTAGGGACATAAACTCTAAAGGGCTAATCTAGCTTTTGCACCAAGTACTTGGATCACTGGATACCTACCACTACCACCGCCATAGCCGCCTCCGCCTCCTCCGTTGTTATAGCTGTCATAGCTGCCACTCCCGCCATAGCCACTGCCCTGGTTTCCATAACCCTGTCCACCACTTCCATAGCCTCTGCTTCCTCCAGAGTAACCAGGGCCGCCTCCTCCATAACCACCTACAAGAATACAATTCTTCTCAATAAGACAAAAGTATTTCACAGTCAAAACCTGTGCAAGTGTAATGCCTCAAAGCCTGCTCACAGCATGCTGTTATCAGAGCTGTTTATCATGCACTAGTTTAGCTCTACTAACCTAGTCTAAAGGTTGCCAAACGAAACTTCACCTATATATTCCTTAAAATAAACCTACCGTCATTACCAAATCCGTTATAGCCATCCCCACTGCCACCGTATCCACCACCACCTCGACTGCCACCGAAGCCACCTGGAAGAGAGTAGAGCTTTAAACCACTGTGAAGTGTACGGAGTGTACGTGTTTTATGTTGTTTTAAAGCTGAATTCTGTAAAAATACTTCCTGCGTTACAAAAATGATCCCAATGTTGATGATAATTCGGCTTTCTGGTTAGTGAAAAGCCAGATCTACGCTTGGATAAAATTTAAGCCAGGAGCTAATCTACCACAGATCGCAGAGGAAAAGTGACCTGGGGATAATCAAATTATAAATCTGTTAACTTTTAGTGTAAACTTACCTCGACCACTGAAGTTCCCTCCACGACCAAAGTTGTCATTCCCACCAAAACCACCTCCACGACCACCACCAAAGTTTCCAGAACCACTTCGGCCTTAAAACACAAAAGTTTTAAATGTCACATTATACAGATTGCAGAATCACTCCGTTACCTGCAAGGATTAATCGAACAAACGCACCTCTTTGGCTGGACGAAGCACTAGCCATCTCTTGCTTCGATAGGGCTTTCCTCACTTCACAGTTGTGGCCATTCACAGTATGGTATTTTTGAACTAAAAAAAAAAAAAAAAAATTCCGAGAGAACATGATCTCAGGCTTTAGAACCCAACACGGACTTCAGAAGCCGTAGCAAAGAGCATGCCCGACACTTACTGACAATCTTGTCTACAGAGTCGTGGTCGTCAAAGGTCACAAAAGCAAAACCTCTCTTTTTGCCACTGCCTCGGTCAGTCATGATCTCAATCACTTCAATTTTCCCATACTGTTCAAAATAATCTCTTAGATGATGTTCTTCAGTGTCTTCTTTAATGCCACCGACAAAAATCTTTTTCACAGTTAAGTGGGCACCGGGTCTTTGAGAATCCTATTGTGGGGGGGAAAAAAGAAAGAAAGAAAGAAAGAAAAAAAAAAAACAAACAACTCCGTTATTTACAGCGACCAAGCCACCCCTTGCCAAGATGACTAAAAAGCGTGCCAGGAGCCCCAAACGCGAGGTCCCCTTGGCGGCCCGCTTCTGCGTCTGCCAAGGAAGGAATAAACCCTCATCTCACTCACTTCTCGGGAGACGGCCCTCTTTGGTTCCACGACTCTTCCGTCCACCTTGTGCGGCCGCGCGTTCATGGCCGCGTCCACCTCCTCCACGGTGGCGTACGTGACGAACCCGAAGCCTCTGGAGCGCTTGGTGTTGGGGTCTCTCATTACCTGAAAGGTGAACTCCCTGAATACTGAGGAGACCTCCGGGACTTCTCAGGCTGAGTTATAAATTAAAAAAAGAAAAAAGAAAAAAAAAAAAAAAAAAAAAGAAGCGCCCCTCCCCTCCCCTCCCCCGCCCCCCCACCAAGCCCTCCCGCTCCCCCGGGGCCGCCACACGTGCATCTCCTCCCGGGAGCGCCTCCGCCGCTGGCACCACCCCTTCCGGCGCCGACCCGGCCCGGCCCGGCCGGCTCTCCGCCCCAGTCCCGTTAACCGCCGTCGGGGCAGCGGAAGCCCCCGGGCCCTCCGTCTCCGGCACATCTTACCACACAGTCCGTAAGCGTCCCCCATTGCTCAAAATGGCTCCTCAGACTCTCATCGGTCGTTTCGAAGCTCAAACCTCCGATGAAGAGCTTCCGCAGCTGCTCGGGCTCTTTGGGAGACTAGGAGCGGGGACACAGCTCGTCACGTGGCGCGCCTAACGCCCAACCGCGTCCCGTCGGGGGGAAAATCCTCGACAGCCGCGGTACAAGGCACGTATTGTTCCCTCGGGGTACGGGAGGCCACGTGCTTCTCCCCTCGGGGGGCGCCGAGCGGTGGGGGCTGGGAGGCCGCGGGCGCATGCGCCCCGACTCTCCCTCCGACGCACGCGCAACAAAAGGACTAGGCTGGACGGACGCCCGAGCGGCGCGGAACTACGGCCGCTCTGGAAGAAACTCGCTCCCGGAGACACGATAAAACAAAACCCGTCGAATGCGCCCGCGAGTTCTGCCGGGAGGGCGCAGCCCGGCGCGACGGCCAAGCGCTGCAGGACGGCGGCCTCATGGCGACGACGAGGACAAAATGGCGACCTCAACTTCGGGAGGGGAAGGCCCTGGCGGCCACCGAGGGGCTGCCGAACGGGCTGGCGCGAGCAGCCACGCCAGGCCGCGTCCTACCGGACCCAGGGAAGGCGCGAGGAGGGAAACTAGGCGGGAGGCAGCGGGTTACTCACCTCTGACTTAGACATGACGGCGGTGGGAGGGGAGACTTTCACGATGCTTACTCGGCGGCGTCCAGGGGCAGAAAGGAGTAATCTAACGAACGTATCTGCCAGCCTACCTTCGGCCTCGCTTTTTTATCCCGCCTCCTCGCTTTAGGCATTGGTAGACTCCGCCCCTGAGCGTCTCTGATTGGATGTTTGCGATAGCCTCCCCCTGCTATTGGTCTATAGTCCCGCACTGCTGCGCAACGTCATCCGCTTGGGCGTTCTACGCAGGCTCCGCCCCTTAAGGTCTATTGGTTCCCGGGTAATGTTATTCTTAAGCACTGTGATTGGCTCGCCAACCAGTCATTCATATTTGAACGAACCTAAGGTATTTAAATGAATTTTCAATCCGTTGCGTCCCGAAATTATGCCCCGCTCAGCTGGCGAAGCACGGTTAATACTATATATTACGAACGAGGTTATCAGGTGGTTTTTTTTTTTTGTTTTTTTTTTGTTTTTTTTTTTTTTTGCAACGACCGCCCGCCGGGCGCATGTGTAGTAAAATGGCGAGTTTACGCAGGCGCACTAACAAGTTCCGCTCGGCGCTTGGAGCACGTGAAATGGCGGGCGGGAGACGGCGCCGGATCTACGGCGCCTGCGTCGTGGCGGGAGTCGCGCGCCGCTTTGCGCAGGCGTAATGGGCGGAGAAAGGGTCCGGTCCCAGGATTGGTCGCGCAGGCGCAGGGAAGGATCCGTTTTGGCGGGCGGTTGGCGTTGCGCAGAAGGCGGCGGCGGCGGCGTCCCGTGGTCCGGCCTCGCCGCAGAGCAACAGGGGAGGCGTTGGCGCGAGTGACCGGCCTCGATTCCGGGTAAGCGGCGGATCGTCTCGCCTACTCGTGCGAGGTGCTGAACTGACTCCAATCGGGTCCGTTATTGTGTGAAATGAATGGAGCGCGGGGTGGGGGCTCGTAAAGGGGGAGCGCTGGGTTCAGCCAACCAATGGAAGGCGGGGGCGGGACGTCTGCCGGCCGGGAGTGCCGTGGAGCCCCGCGGCCCGGAGTCTGACTGGCTTGCGCGCGGGCCAATGGGGTCCGCCCTCGGCCGCCGGCGGATGGGCCCTCGGGCCGTGGGGGCGGGCCCTGCGCCCCTGAGCAGCGTCCCGGCGAGCCAATGAGCGCGGCGCGCGCGGTAGGTAGGTTGGGCTCCTCGGAGGCGGCGGGCGGCTGGGAGGGCGGCCCCGCTGTGGAGCCGGCGGCGGGCGGGTCGCCCAGTCAGCGTTGCGGCAGCGGGAGGCCTCGGGGCGGGCTGTGACGGGGCGGGCGCGAGGGCGCGGCGGGCGCGCGTTTTCTCCACAGTGGCCCCTGGCGCGCGGCGCGCGGCGCTCGGGCCTTCACCCCACACGCGTTTCCGGCAGCGAGACCCTGACTCTGTGGCGCGTCGCTTCGGCTTCGGCATAACCGCTCCACGCGCACCCGCACCCGCACCCGCACCCCGGGACTCGTGGTCGCTCCGCGCGTGGAGGCTCCCAGGGGAGCGCGGCCGGTCGTCGGGAACCCGCTTGGCCGGCAGCGTCCGCGCGCGTCGGAAGAGCCGCCGCCGCCGCCGCCGCCGAGAGGCGCCCGACCGCGCGTGCGCGGAACGCCGCGGCCTTCCCCGGACAGGAGGTGGATACTAGTGAGCCCGCGGGAGAAGTTTGGGACGGGCCGTCTGCGGGGCCCGGGGGGGGATCCGGCAGGGTGCGTCCCTACCGCCGGAACCTTTCAGGGGTCGCAGTTTGTGGCTGGGTGCAGGTGGGAAGGGCCGCCCTCGCGTCTCCGGGCACGATCCCTTGCTGCTCACCTCGCCCCGCGCCGCCCCGACGCCTCGAGAGAGTGCTGGTCCCCCCACCCCCGCGCCGGGGGAGCTCACACGGTGATGCTCAGAATAAAAACACGAATTTTAAAGACTCGACTTTCTTTTGTGTGCTCAGTGCCTGCCAGGGAGACGCTGTGCTGAGTAAGTAGAGCCTTTACCTCAGTCTCTTCTGTGACCTTCTGTATCTTTCTTTACGCCATTAAAAGGTTTCTTTCTTTCTTTTCTTCTTTCTTTTCTTTTCTTTTCTTTTCTGTTTTTTTTTGTTTTTTTTTTTTTTTTTTTAAAGATCTTGTTTATTTATTCATGAAACACACAGAGGCCGAGAGAGAAGCAGACTTCCCACAGGGGAGCCGGATGCCGGATCCCAAGACCCCGGGGTCCCGCCCTGAGCCCAAGGCAGACGCTCCACCCCGGAGCCACCCAGGCGTCCCATCCATTAAAAAGTTTCCGAGCCTCTTTCTGCTATTCCTCGAAGGATGTCTGAGTTTTGACAAATTGCTTGACATGGGTGATATTTAGGGTGTTAGGGGTAGGAGGACTCATCCATCCATCACCTGGATCATTCCGTTGCCTTCATTGTATTTTCTTCAAAGTGTTTAATTTACAGGCACTGTGATCACCTGTTGGTAACACCCATTCAGCTGATCTGAAGATGTTTTCGTAAAAATAAAGACGTTTTCGTTACACAGTGGTTATATCAGAATCTAAGTTGCACTCTTGATCGATGGCATAAGGTTAATAGAAAAATGTTTAGATACTGTAGTAGGTTTAACTACGCATGAAGGACACTGCTGATTATAGACCTTTGTGACATTATACAAAGGAAAGTTCATTTTAGTTGTCCATATAACGAAGACTGGAGAGATTTGTGTTCTCTGACACTTGCAAGAGGACAACTTGATTTCGTATTTCCTTATAAACTGTAGGTGTGCTGATCAGCTGCTTCTGCTGAGTTTATGAGAACTGAAGGGATCTAAATTACGGTTCTCCCTGATTTATTTAGGATCAAAGGAAATACAGTCTTGACTTACGGGATTTCTTACAGCACTATGGACATTTTAAGCTAACGCATTTCACCTCCTCCCTCACACCCATTTGTGACTATCAAAATGTCACCACACATTGCCAGATGTCCTGGGGATGTCAGTGGTAGTGATGGTGGCGGTGGTGGTGTAAAATCTTCCTCAGTTGAAAACTGTTGATTTAGGGGTGCCTGGCAGGCTGGGTCTGAGGAATGTGACTCTTGATCTCAGGGTGGTGACTTCAAGCTCCACGCTGGGAGTGCAGCTAAAGAATTAACTATTAATAAAAAAAATTTAAAAAGCAACGTTGATTTAAGTTGACAGATGCTGGAGGCACCTGGCTGGCTCAGCAGAGGAGCCTGCAACTCTTGCTCTCGAGTCATAAGTTTGAGCCCTACATTGGGTGAAGAGATTACTTAAACTTACAAAAATAAGTAATACGACAGATGCTAGAGTTGATAATCTTGTCAAAATATTTTATTTTAATAATTGGAAATTAGTGGGAGAAGGTGAATGAAGTGTTTAGGAAGTGGCCTTTGGTAAATGGATCGCTAAATCTTAATGGTAATCTCTTCAGATATAGAGAGCTCATTGTTCCTTTGGATAGGAAGGAGAATTTCATTAAGTTTTTATTATTTCTTGCAGTGTAACAGGATTGTTTGCATCTTTTGTTTGACTGCCTAAAATAATGGAATGGTGGACTTTGGATTAGATGCATCTTAGATTCTTACCTGCTTTAAGCCTCTTTCCTTTACTGGGGATTCTTTTGGATCAGTGTGTCTCAAACTTTTGATCTTGACCCTTACTAGGCAATCTGTTTAACTCTGTACACAAAACAAGTTTTGTTATATAAATACGTGTGCAAAGCGCTCTGGTATTTTCTCATCTATAGTACACTATTTCGTTTTCTTAAAAATGCAGGTCAGTTTTTGCAGATTTTGTGGCTGTGTTTGGGGGAAAAAAGAAAACTGATCTGAAGAATAGGTAAACAGATCACGGCCCCTGGAGTATCTGAATGGATTTTGCCCATCTCCAGCCCTAGCTGTTTGGATTTATAAACAAAATTAACTGTGACACCCCTTATCTGATGATTTTAATTTCAAAGATTTCAGGATTTCAACATAGGTTTCTTGGTTTACTGTGGTTTGCAAGTACACATTGCTTTTTTGTGAATTCTCTTACAATGTTAGAGTTTTTTTTTTTTTTAAACAATGTTAGAGTTAATAGGTCTGATGAACATTTTTCTCCGGTGGGGAAATTTTAGTGGGTCATTTTTCATTGATGTTCTGAGGCTATTCCATTGAAAATCTTTTTTTATTTTTTAAAATTTATTAATTTGAGAGGGAGCACACCTGCATGTGTGCAGGAAAAGGGGGCTGGGTTAGGGGCAGAGGGAGAGAGAGAGAGAGAGAGAATCCTCAAGCGGACTCCCCTTGGAGGTGGATGCAGGCTCAATCTCAGGACCCTGGCATCATGACCTGAGCTGAAATCAAGATGTTCAACTGACTGAGCTATCCAGGGACCCCCACATTGAAATTTTTTTTTTTTTTTTTTTTTTAGGATTTTATTTATTCATGAGAGACAGAAAGAGAGAGGAAAAGACATAGGCAGAGACATAGGCCTAGGGAGAAGCAGGCTCCCTGCAGGGACCCAGATATGGGAGTTGAACCCAGGACTGCCAGAGGCAGACGCTCAACCACTGAGCCACCCAGATGTCCCCCAAATCTCAAGTTTAGACTTATTTCTTGCCTTTGGAGAACCTGGTTTGGTTGTTCATTTGTACTGCTCTTTTAACAATGCAAGATGTTTTGGCTGTGTTAGGAATTTAAATTTCGAGTACTTCTGTTTACAACTTAAAGATTTACTGTACTTAAAAGGATAGTGTTCACTAAAAGGGAACATAACATATCTTCAGTGGTCTGTCTGAAAACCAGTAAGGAAGCTATCTGGATAGCAGGTGAGCAGGATAATGTTGGGGCAAAAAGAAAGAGAACATTACTCTACAGAGGCTGGATTTTTATATGTCTAGGAAAGTTTTGGTAGTTTTCAGAGCCCTTGGTAGAAGCTCTAGAAAAGAGAAAGGTATCCAGGGTATAGAGGTTTCTGAGGAAGATTAATAATTTTTACTTTTGTTTAGGTATTTTATTTAACCACACAGCATGGTTTATGGATCTTATGGAATAGCACATTTAGGGACGCCGGGGTGGCTCAGCGGTTGAGCATCTGCCTTCAGCTCAAGCGTGATCCTGGAGTCCTGGGATCGAGTTCCGCATCGGGCTCCCTGCATGGAGCCTGCTTCTCCCTCTGCCTGTGTCTCTGCCTCTGTCTCTCTTGAATAAATAAAATCTCAAAAATAATAATAATAATAAAGGGAATAGTACATTTAACAATCCTTGGTAAAGAATTTCTTATGCCTTTTCTTGTTCTTTTGCTTGGTCTGTTTTTGTTTCCATTTACCTTACATGAAATTGGGTTTAGAGCTGTGTGCTGTGAATATTGATTTTAAAAGTAGTAAATTGCAATGTGAGATATCACTTGTAACTGACTTGGTGTGGCTGCTGTTTATACATTGTTATTCATAAACTTGGACTCTGGGCAGTTAACCTTTTTTCCCTGACATAAACTTTGATTTTCCTTTCCTTCTTATAGAGGATGCCTTTTAGCTGATCATTGTACTAATGGGAAGGAGTCCAGGTCATCCTGAGAAGAGTTGGCTTGTGCAGAGTCCAAGATACAGCTTTGTTGGATTTCTGTAAGCTACTCGAAGCCACATATTCATTTCTGATGACAACTTTACACTTGTGTTGGCAGAACACCCACAGCGACAACTGGTGCCTATGTTTAGTCTGTCCAGGAGCTCCACTAGCTAACATGTTTGGGGAAAAACCTACACTGTTCTTGTTAGCAGCTATGTAAATATTAGACCTTGCTGAGTTTGTCTTCCTGGATCTGCCAGGATTTGGGGGGATAAATTACAGTCTCTGGTTGCCTCAACTTACCCTTTGAAATCAGGGATTAAGGTTTTTAGGCATTCTTCTGGTTACTTGAAGCACAGTTCTTTTTGGATCAGTAATTTGTTTTATATATGTCCAGTTTATGATTTTTAAAATTTTATTTCCCTTGTATGTTAGTCTCCTGTAGCTGCTAGAACAAATTACCACAACCCTAGTGGCTTCAAACAGTGGGAATTTATTCTTAAAATTCTGAAGGCCAGGGATCCCTGGGTGGCGCAGCGGTTTGGCGCCTGCCTTTGGCCCAGGGCGCGATCCTGGAGACCCGGGATCGAGTCCCACGTCGGGCTCCTGGTGCATGGAGCCGGCTTCTCCCTCTGCCTGTGTTGTCTCTGCCTCTCTCTCTCTCTCTCTCTCTGTACGACTATTGTAAATAAAAAAAAAAAAAAATTCTGAAGGCCAGTAGTCTGCAGTCAAGGTGCTGAGCCCCCTCTGGAGGCCCTAGAGTGGAGGCCCTTCCTTGCCTTTTCCAGCTTCTGATTGTTGTCAGCCTTATCTTTCCCTGCTCTGTCTTTGCATTATCTTCTCCATGTCTCTGTCTCAGAACTCCTGCCTTTTACAAGGATAGATGGAATTCCGTTTAAGAGCCAACCAGATACTCTGGGATAAATTTCAGATTTGGATTAAGGCTTAGGTGTCTTGGGAGGGGAGCCGTCATCAGTCAGACCACTACACCCTAGTTCTCCAACTCTTTTTTTTTTTTTTTATAAAGATTTCATTTATTTATTCATGAGAACACACAGAGAGGAGAGAGAGAAGCAGAGACACAGGCAGAGGCAGAAGCAGGCTCCATGTACGGAGCCCAATGTGGGACCCGATCCCGGGACTCCAGGACCACACCATGGGCGGAAGGCAGGCGCTAAACCGCTGAGCCACCCAGGGATCCCCCTAAGTTTATGTAATTCAAAAAAAAACTTACGGGGTGTCTGGCTGCTAAGTGTGTTAGACAACTGACTCTTGGTTTTGACTCAGGTAATGATCTCTGGGTCATGAGATAAAGCCTCATGTGGGGCTCTGTGTTTGGTGCAGAGTCTGCTTCAGATTCTCTCCCTCAACTCATGCAGCTTCTGTACGTGCATGGGCACGCTCTGTCTCAAATAAAAAGTGTTTTTTAAAAAAGGAAAAAGTTACTTAATTTTTCTGGTTTCAGGAAAAGGTTATGTGTTTTTGACAGAGTGGGAAGGAGAGAATTTTTTTTTTTTTTTTTTAAGATTTTCTTTATTCATGAGAGTCACAGACATAGGCAGAGGGAGAAGCAGGCTCCCTGTGGGGAGCCCAATGCGGGACTCAATCCCAGGACCCCGGGATCAAAACATGAGCCAAAGGCAGATGCTACAATCATTGAGCCAACCAGGTACCCCAGAGAGAGAGCATGTTAAGCAGGCTCCATACCCAGCATGGAGCCTGACAGGGAGCTCCATCTCACTACCCTGAGATCATGACCTGTGTTGAAATCAAGAGTTGGATGCTTAACTGATTGAGCCACTCAGGAGCCCAAAGGAAAAATTATTTTAGAAATGAGAGGCAAATGGAAATTAAAGTTTAGGAAACCTAGATTCTCTTCCCACTTATGTCTTTAACTACTGATACAACCTTAGGTAAGCCATATGCCCTCTTTGGTCCCTAGTTTCTCCATTTTATATGGAAACTATTGGTTAGGTGATTGCTGCTAGCCTTCTAGGCTAAAGACTTTCATGAAATGATTCCTGAACTGTCTTGGATTTTGTTTTTGAAGTAAGTGATTTTAAATGTGAATGAAGAACTCATTCTAATATTTTGGGCCAGTATAGGCCTTTGGAGGTCTTGCTTAGGATTTGAGGACTGACTTGTTGGCTGGTTGTCAGATCCTTGGGGTATTAACACAGGATAACAAATTTGTGAATTGTATGTGGTTTTCTAAAAAGGGTATAATGGATAGGTTGGGCCATTTTTCACTCTCATCCTAATGTATAGTCTGGATTTCTTTTCCAGTAAGAGTAGTGTGTCAAAATTAAACACTGACAGATTTTTCTACCTGAAACTAGGTCGTGGAGCTAGTTTTTAATTTTTTCACATGCAGTCTTTTTTTTTTTAATTTTTTTATTTATTTATGATAGTCACACACACACACAGAGAGAGAGAGAGAGAGAGAGAGAGAGAGAGAGGCAGAGACACAGGCAGAGGGAGAAGCAGGCTCCATGCACCGGGAGCCCGACGTGGGACTCGATCCCGGGTCTCCAGGATGGCGCCCCGGGCCAAAGGCAGGCGCCAAACCGCTGAGCCACCCAGGGATCCCCACATGCAGTCTTATTCTTCAGACTTAACTGAGTGCTTATTCTATCACGCTTCATTGCTAGAAACAACACTAGAAAACATGGGATTGAGGTGGTGGTGTTGAAAAGACTATTCAAAGATCTGATTTTTTTTTTTAATTTTTATTTATTTATGATAGTCACAGAGAGAGAAAGAGAGAGAGGCAGAGACATAGGCAGAGGGAGAAGCAGGCTCCATGCACCGGGAGCCCGACGTGGGATTCGATCCCCGGTCTCCAGGATCGCGCCCTGGGCCAAAGGCAGGCGCCAAACCGCTGCGCCATCCAGGGATCCCAAAGATCTGATTTTTTTATGCACTGTCATTATTTATTTCTTACATGTAGAGGAGGAGGAGGAACCAAATTGAATTCAAGTATCTCTCCGATTGTAATCTCCATTTCTTAGAATAAAGCAAGTTCACATCTGAGTCAGCAGGCATAATTATGTCGGAATAAAATGCCCTGCTAAAGAGGTCAACCAACAGGCTGGGAAATCTATCTTAAGTTTGGTGTCTGAGGTAGATCCTTGAACTCCGTGTACATTCTTTCTCATCCCTAAATCAGTGAGACTCCCTTACCTCACAGGAAGTTATGGAGGGTAATATACTGTTAATTTGTTCAGTATTTCACAACAATAAATCTAAGGATCTGATAAAACATAGGCAAACCCCATTTATATGAATAGCTGGAGACAAGCATAGATATAACTTACAGATAGTTCAGGAAATTCATTAGAGTTATTTTAACTTCCTTTACCATCAGACATCTTACCTTCTGTTTGCTGTATACTTTCCAAAGAGGTTTTTTTTTTTTTTTCTTCTTTTTCCATAACAGACACAGGAGGTAGGTAGGACAGATAGCTAACACCAGATGAGATGATAAAAGAATCAATTCATCAAGAAGACATAACAACCCTAAGTTTTACACAACTAATAATAAAACTTCAAAATACATGAAAGAAAAAAATGTTGGAACTGAAATATATATATCATTATATTAACACGTTTCTAAGTAACCCATGGATCAAAGAGGACATCACAAAATTAGAAAATATTTTGAACTGAATAAAAGTGATAACATGACCTTAAAATGTGTGGGATGTAACTAAGGCAGAGCTTAAAGGCAATTTTATTTATTTTTAACGATTTTATTTATTTACTTGTGAGAGACACAGAGAGAGGGGCAGAGACACAGGCAGAGGGAGAAGCAGGCTCTGAGCTATACGTAGGAATCCCTAAAGGAAATTTTATGGTATTAAATGTTTCAGAGGCACCTGGGTGGCTCAGTGGTTGAGTGTCTGCCTTTGGCTCAGGTCGTGATCCCAGGGTCTGGAATCAAGTCCCATGTCGGGCTCCCTTCAGGGAGCCCGCTTCTCCCTCTGCCCGTGTGTCTGCCCCTCTCTCTGTGTCTCATGAATAAATAAATAAATAATATTTTTAAAAAAGGTATTAAATGGTTCAGTTAAAAAAGCAGAAAGGTCTAGAGTCCGTGACCTACACCTTTCTTTTTTTTAACTTTTTTTTTTTAAGATTTTATTTATTTATGAGAGACACAGAGAGAGAGGCAGAGACCTAGACAGAGGGAGAAGCAGGCTCCATGCAGGGAGCCCGACATGGGACTCAATCCCGGATCCCGGGATCACTTCCTGGGCCAAAGGCAGATGCTCAACCGTGGAGTCACTCAGGCGCCCTGGTGACCTACACTTTTATCTTAAGAACCCTAGGACAAGAAGAGCAAGTTAACCCAAATTACGTAGAAGAAAGAAAAATATTAATTAAAAGCAGTAGGTAGTTGGTGAAGAATAAAACAAAATAGTAGAGAAAATCAATGAAAGTGAAAGTTGGTTTTTGAAAAGATCAGTAAAATTAATAAACCAAGCAGATCTTAAAAAAAAAAAAAACAAGCAGATCTGATGGGGGGTGTGGAAACACAAATGACTACTATCAGGAGCAAGAAAAGGGATATCACTACTGATCCTAGAGACATTGAAAAAGTAGTAAGAGAATATTACGAACAACTATGCCAGTACATTCCGTATCTTAGATGAATCGAATCACCTCCTTTAAAGACAAACTGCCAAAGTTCACTTCAGAAGAAATACAGAACCTCACTAGCCCATATTTATTAAAGAAATGAAATTCGTAATTGAAACTGTTCTCCCAGTGAAAACTCCAGTCCTGGATGGCTTCACTGGTAAGTTTCACCAAATCTTTTTTTTTTTTTTTTTATCTCTCCTTACCAATCCTTTAAGGATGAGGTATTACCAATTCTACAAACTCTTCCAGAAAATAGGTGAGGGAGGAGCGATTACTAAGGCATTCGTTATTTTTAACTTCATCTATTATCAGGCAAACTTTTATTTCCCTTATATGTATGTATGTATATATATATATATATATATATATATATATATATTGTTAAGATTTTTATTTATTCATGAGACACACAGAG